CCCCAAAACCCCAAAACCCCAAAACCCCTCTAACATTTAGCTTCAGACTTAATCAGAAGAAACAAAAATAAAAACAAAAATGAAACCTTGATTCACCAAACTGTGCACTGCCCAAAGACAAGTGTTCTGTTCTATCCACCAAGCAATCTTATGATATGGCTGCAAAGATGAGTTTCACCACCAATGACAAGTTGACGAGATTGTGGATCCGAGCAGGATTACCCAAAATATTACTCAACTCCTTACAGTACTTGAGACTATAACTGAAGATCAGTCAAACTTCTGCATTGAAATGCACATTGAAGGCCTTGAAGAGTTTGTTCATACAAACGAGTCTAAGATAGATGAAATCCAGCACTTATTAAGTGAGTCAGTTACTCAAGACAGGTTTCTGGAATATACAGATCTCCTTGAAGATATTCTAAAAGTCAGAACTATGATAAACGAGAGTAAAGTATATCAAGAGTATTGCAACTTCATGATCAATTTTAAAGCCAAACTAAAACTACTTTCAGAACAAGAGCTTGAAATAGAAGAAGAAAATATTGATACTAGAGCGGCACCCTCGAACATAGAAAATCAAAATGCCACAAGTGATTATTTGAATGAACTTAGTAAGGCCACAAAATTTGTCAAACTATATGAAAAAGTGATGGAGTGTAGCATTCACGAAAGCGAATTGCAAGAACTCATAATAAACTGAGACATCAATAAAGATAAAAAACTAATGAAAGAGATTCTGACCAGTAACACTAAAGTCTCAAATCTAAAGTGTCTGACAATCCAGAATTGCAATAAAAATTTATCTGAAGTTTCAAAGTTTCTAAGCCATTCATTATTGAAAGATATCAATAAGATCAAGCTAGTTTGAAATCAGCAAGGTCCAAAAACCATTAGAAAAATAAAACCAATTTTACCAGCACTTACATCAGCCGTTCAATTCATGAATGTCAAGGAAGTTCACTTGAGTGATTGGGAATTTGACTCTAAAGATCTTAATGTATTAATCGATAGTTGTTCTGGTGTAGAAACAATAAGCATACAACGAGCTTTCTTTTGTAGTTGGAACGGAATGAAACTTGATAGAAATCGGATCTTTAGAACTAAAATTCTAAAATTAAGTCCGACTTCTTTTCAAAGTTTTGCTAGCACAACTACAGATTCAATTATACATGCAATTGGTGATTCGAATCTAAAAGAATCGCTCAATGAACTGCATATACGAGGTATATCTTCACACTCGATATCTTCTCTGGAAACCATTGCCGATTCTTTAGGAATGAGTCACATCAAACTTATCATTTAACGAGTATTTGGTTCCAAATCAATCCTAGTGGAGATCTTGGAATAGAAATTAGGAGTGTTTACTCAAGAGGATGAATTGCAGTACAACTTAAATATTTCTTTATGAATAACCTTAACACCTGAAGTTGGTCTTCAAGTCTTCTCTTTCAACCTGAGTCCTGGAAACTTGTCAAAAGAAGCCCTTAGAATGTTCGAGATATGATTCTATGGAGTTTGTACAGATAGATAGCTTAGAAGATACACACTGGCCTCGTCTGAGATAATGCTCTGAGACTCTGTGGCTTGGATGGGATTAAGAATAGGTTGTAATTGTAGGTTTTATCTTAGATAGCAAACCACACTATGAGGGAGTGAGTCCATCTGACCAAAATATTTAACTCTCTTAGAGTTTAGAAAGATTAATTTATTTAATTTGACATCTTCGAGTATTCTAGGGTTATTTCAATAAACTTGAATTAGTTGGGGTTTTGGGGTTTTGGGGTTTTGGGGTTTTGGGGTTTTGGGG